TTTTAATACAACCCTGGGCAGTTCACAACAATAAAATTATAAAAATCATAAGAACCATTAACAAAAACTAAAAGCCTGGCACCTCAATCAACCTCCCAGGGTACCTCAACAACTCTCCACAGGCTCTATCGCTGTACCCCAGTGTCTGGGTAAAGAGCTGGATCTTAATAGCCTTCTGGGAGGTTAAGAGAGTGGGGCCTGCTAGAATGGAGGGTTTTTTTTCCCATAAAGTAGCCATGGAAAAGGTAAACTTCCTAGGTTCCAATAGATGGCAATATTTTAGTGAAAGGACCTGAAGCAGGCTGGGCCAGGCTGCCTGGGCAGGAGGCTGCCTGCAGGAAGAGGAAGTCCTGCAAATGGTACATGGCTCTCCTGTACTGCATGGGAAATCCAATTTGTCAGTTAAATTGAAACATTGTACTTTATCTTTTAAAATCGACTGGAAAAAAAAGCTGCAGCCACAAAATGGGTAGAATATAGAAGTCATTTTGATAGTTTTTGGATTTACTGGCAGTTTATATATATAAAAAAACCCAACATCCATCCATCCATCCACTCACTGACCCACATACCTACCTACTTACCTACCTACTTTACAACTAAATCTCTATCTATCTATCTATCTATCTATCTATCTATCTATCTATCATCTATCTATCTATCTATCTATCTATCTATCTATCTATCTATCTTCTAACACTATGCAAGTGCATGCACAAACTTTGACCAATGGCTAAGACACTGAGCTTGTCAATCAGAAAGGTCGGCAGTTCAAATCCCTAGTACAGGTCTCCTGCGTGAGCAGGGGGTTGGACTAGATGACCTCCAAGGTCCCTTCCAACTCTGTTACTGTTACATTACATTATTTCACGTTTTTTCTTAAACAGAGATTTCAGATTTCTACATAGAAATAAACATTAGGGTACTACACCTCCACCAAGACTGGCAGGGCAAGGTACTGTAGCTGAACAGGGAGCAAACCCCACCCTCACTCGCACTGATGTTACCTAGTCAAGTAACGAAAACACCTGCAAGCAAACAACCAAGTTCGGAGAGCACCAAAGATTCCACAAAGAGAACTTTCCTTCAGAGGTGCAGGTATTTTTATCATTACAATATTACCTTTCATGCCCTAAAGCCGTATAATTATGAAATTACTTTAAAATTTGGTTAAATATTTGTTGCATTTTAAAATGTGCCACAAATTGTAACCATCTAACGAATTTGAAAGGTACATCCTTCACGAATATAAAAGGTATGTCCTTCTCATTTGACCCCATGGTTACTTGCCAGAAGCCTGTCTTGTTAAAAACAGAAAACCATTCTCTATTCATTTGCTTAACTGGTCAGAACAAAAATGTTTTAGTAATTCACAAAACTGTAAGTACTGGTTAATTTACTACTTAATTGACAAATTCAATTTTATTTAAGGTACATGCTAAATTGAAAAATGTTCTATTTTTTTCCTACTCTGTGGATAGAGAATAGAAGGTGGACAAGGCCAATACTATTTTTTCCAGTGTATTGGAAACGGCTGATACAGTATTGAAAGTTTTACCCCCAGTAGTGAACTGCTAGCTAGAATTTCAACGGTTCTATTTCTAAATTACAGCAGAAAGCACAGACACAATAGGAATGCCAAGCTGGGGGTAGGGAAAATCACAGCTGGAGAAAGTATTGCAAACCTTATATGAGAACTATTTTAATGTAGAAAAAGGAAAGATATCAGCAATATTCCAGGAGGAAAAACACAAAATCCACAAACAGATGGTATGTTTATTAGGATGAGCCAAAACGCTGCAAGAATAGAATGCACACAATAGCCAAAAGCTGAACTGTGAATCTGAAAATCCTAGTTGACAGTTTAAAACTTGCCTTTGGCAACATTTTCTTGGGTTTTGTCTAATCACTTACATCATAGTATAGTTTTCTCTTATTTTCATTCCAGCAATAAACATGAAATATATGAAGCCAGATTAAATAGAATTTGTGAATGGCTTTGTGGTATCAGTACCATACTTTCAATAACTAACATTTTTATACCATTTGTTCTTTGCTGAAGACAACAACAACAAAAAAAATCTCTGTGTCCCAAATCTTTATGAGCACATATATATTTACAATGGATTTTTCACTGATCAGAAACTATCTGGGCAACCTTTGAAAATTAAGTGAATGAAGGAGCTATAGAATTATATTCAGAAAAAGTCTTCCTTATATGGGTAACAAATCCAGTTTATTTTCACCAAGCTAATACAGAAAAGGATGATGGCATATCTCAAAGACAGAATTATCTGTGAAGCTCCTATAGTTTTCTCATCCAATCATAAGACTTCCTTTGTATATTTTCATGCATTATATTTGCTATCATGGCTTTTGCACTGTTACGTTTCATTAAAAAAAAAGGTCACTGACAGATTAAATTCATTAATCCTTGTACTAGTTCTATATCTTTTTGGTCAAGGTAGCAGAGAGGCAGTGGCAAAGTGCAGGGTGGCCAAAGGGGCAAAGATGGGGTGTGGGGGATAGAGATAAGCATGCATCACCAAGGCCAATGTGCCACCTCAGCAGCAGCAGGAAGCTGGTGAAAGTTAGCTGGGGGTGGCAGGACTGAAGGGCAGCCAAAGGGGCAGAGAAGGGGGGAAGATAGGTAGGTGGAGAAAATTGACGTGCACACTGCAGTTGTAAATGTGGGTGGACTGCCAAGCACCTGAATTTTGACCACATGACCCTAGGGCTGCTCCAACAGCCATAATTTTGAGGACTGGTCTTAACTATCATTTGTTCAGCACTGTCATAACTTTGAATAATCACTGACTGAATGGTCATTAAGTGAGGGCTATTGGAGGACAATCTAAATCAGTGGTGTCAAACTCGCGTCATCACAGCAGCGTCACATGACATAGCGTGACTTTTTTTTCCTTTGTTAAGCCGGGCATGGGTGTGGCCAGTGCATGACGCATCTGGCCCACAGGCGGCAAGTTTGACAGCCCTGATCTAAACCTAAACACAGATTAAAAGGTAAAATTAATTCTTCAGATATCTCACTATTATTAAAAATTGCTTTCCACCACAATCTGCAAAGAAGAACTGCAGAGGATCATCTCAATATTTGAACAGTTTTGACTGTACAGTACATGTTTCATTATATACTTTCAAATTACACATTCAATATGATTACGTTCTACAAAATCAGCATTATTTAATGAAATAAATAAATTCAGTTTTGAATTCAATTTTCATTACCCATCCCTGCCATTCAGAATGAGAATGAGCAATAATTTTAATGAAGGACTGCAGGCATAACTATTAATACCATAGAGTTCATTGTTTCTCAGTCTTATCAACTTTAAGATGTGTAGAGGTCAACTCCTAGAATGCTGACTGGAGCATTCTGGAAATTGAAGTCCACAGAGCTTGAAACACTGCTAAAGTCATTCACTTTTATTTGCCTGTTAACACAAAAGAAGTCAGGAAAAAGTAAGCAAGTATAAGATCTGCAAAAATTTTAAGAACAATTAAACTTAATTTTTCAGTTTTAACAAGAATCCATGGATCTAAAAGGCTGCTGATACTATTTTTATATTTCTTTTGCAGATTTGAATAGGTTAATTAAGTAGATTCCTTCATTACATGTTAAAAAAAAACCTGTTTGATAAATGAAGATTAGTTAACTGTTTTTAATGCTTTGAATTTCCAAGCACTAAAGGTAGAGGAATATATTAGTTAATGTCTTGATTCACTGGCACTATGAAAACTAAACCCTTTCTTGTTGAAAGAAAACTTCTATAGTTTGTTTTATCTAATTGGTACAGGTTCTGCATTGACAAGAAGGGCTAAACTAAAACAAAAGGAAAACAGAAAACACTGAAGCATGTCCAAATGTGATTTTAAAAAAACTTAAATTGCAGCTGCACAAAAAAGATGCTATTTTAACCCCTTCTCCAAATGCAATCCCCTATTCTATATTACTCCTATGAAAAAAGGTAGCACTTAACCATAAAAAAAGTAAACACAGTATTTAATAAAACAAATCAAATCAGCAAACTGAATACAAAAGTAACCGAAAACCTGGATTAAAAATGTTTATATTTTAACTTAGATAATAAACGAGTCAATTCTGATCAGCTTGAAAATAAAAACCCTTTTCAGTTTGGCTCTTTTTAGAATGATAATAGCTTAAATGTTAGTACAGCTAATGCTCAACTTTTCTAGAATGTAAATAAGGACATTTCTTTATTCTAAAAATGTATCTTAACAGAAATCAAGAAGATTAAGTAATCAGTATATCTTTTAAAACTTTCTATACCTTATGAATTTAAAAGTTTGATTTTATAAAAGGAAAAAGCTGGATTCTTAGTGTGTAAAAAGTTATTGTTTAATTAAGGTTTATTGAATCACAATGGCTACTTCCATACATAACATAAATACAAGCTTTGATTTTAAGAACACAGTGACAAATTCACACATGCTAAGCTAAAACAAAGTAAACTCATTACAACTTAGCTTGAAGAGTGAATCCAGCAAGCCAGTGATGTCAGGATGAGCACCAGGGGTAAAATGCACTTACCTTCGCTACCGGATTGGAAATGTGAGTGCGCGCACTCGCGAGAGGGTCAAAAACGGGACATGATGACATTCTGGCAGGTGGGCTCATGCAAGCCGGATATATCCAGCCAGATTTCACCGCTGATAAGCACCCAAAGTGCAAAACAGTTGCAAAACATTGTCATGGGACTATGGGATGCTGCAACTGGTTGTAAATGTGAATGTGTGGCCAAATACCTGAACTGTGATGATGTGACTGCAGGGGGCAGTTGTAAATAGCATTTTTAAGTCCATCTTAAGTTTGAATGGTCATTAAATGGCCAGTCATAAGTCAAGGGCTATCTGTAATGTATATTTGCAGGACAAAAAATTAGGTAATACAAAGCTATTAAAATTGGCTGCTTGTCACTTGAAAAAAGTAATAATTGGTTCCATAAATCATAGATACTTACTGAAAGTTTTGCAGATGTCAGATACTGCTTTAAAGACTCTGTCAGAAAAGTTCACTTTCACTTTTACATACTTCATGTTGGGAAGCTGGAGTCGGAGCAATTTGTGTTGAGGAGTGAATTGTAACTTTGCATCAGCTTGTATTCCATACTTATCTAAAGTCCAGTGTGTTTTAAGGAGCCAGGTTTTCTTCTTTTCCCACCATAAGGCATGGTCGGACCAATCTTTCTTGACATCTAGGAGGAGCACAAAGATACACAATTAGGAATTAAAGAGAAATAGTGAGCAACTAAATTCACAGTGCTTAGACAAAACATATTTTATATGTTTTATAAAATACCGATGATTTTTATATCATGTTATATCAGCCAGTTATTCTTGCAAAAGACAAGAGTGAAATAAGGATCATTCAATGTATGAAAATCTAGTTAACATCAATTATTCACCCCACCCTACCCCTACGCATGTCACAGCTGCTGGCAGAACCTGGCCAACTCAGAAACTAAGCAGGGTCAAATCTGACTACCATAGCACCTGAGACACCACCAGGGATGGCCAAGAGGTAAAGATAAAAATCCCCTCAAGTCAAGCTAAATTTCTCCTTCCATGTTACTTAATCATATTTTCAGCCAATTCTCACAGTGAAAAAAAAAATAACTTTTGGTATTTTGATAATTCCATATGCTAGGGATATAGCCAAAGAGGATATGTGCATTAATATGCATAACAAGTTATTAACACTTCGGATAACTTCAGCACAAATTAAGCTGAGTCCAAGTTAAATTTTCCAACATCTGCATTGCATCCCCAGCTACTATTAATAATTCCCTGATGTGTCCCAATAGTAATTGTTCCTCCAACTGGAGAATATTTCAGAATTGAGGCATTGCTACAGAAACAGTTCTCTTCTTTCCCACTGGATACAAATGTTCCAGTAAATAAAGTTCGCTCCCTTAGAACAGGATTTCATAAATACAGGACCAGAGAATTCAATGCCTTTCCTACCTCCCAGATAACTGATCTTATGTGATGGCGTAAGTAGGATATTTGAAATTAATCTTTGAGTATCGTGCAAGTAAAGGCAGCATTTTGGGTAAGCTTTATATGACTTCTGATTTATGATTAAATTAAGTTTAGCTGTTCAAAGCACAATGGCAAATAATGCTTGCAAAGGGTGCAATTAATAATGTACGCCACCTTATCAGGGCTCTTATAAATCTCAGCTAAACTACACAAAGAAGAGAGGAGCAGCAGCCACAATTCTCAACAGCATGGCATTCTATCGTCAAATTAAACAAAGCCAAATATAGAAAAGCATGCAGCATGCAGTAAGACTTGGCTGCTCTCAAAGAAATCTGTCAAGTGATTATGGTGAACTCTGGTCCAAACTTTTGCTTCTCTAAAACATGTCAAGAGTAAGGGAATGATTTCGGCACTGAAAGATGTTGTTTATGAACTCTCAAGTAGTAGAAGTTTAGACTTAAATTTAAAAGGCACTGGCTTTCTTATCAGCCTACAGGGCTACAATTACCATATTTTTCAGAGTATTAGAAGCACCTTTCCCCCCCAAAAAAGAATGTGAAAATCTGGTGCATGTTAGTCTCCGAATGTCGCCCCGCCCAGCTTCTCAAATGGAGGTTTCAGAGGCTGAAAAAAGCATCAGAAACGAAGATTCAGAAAAAAAGCCCCCAAACAGAGCTTCAGAAAAAAAAGCCCCCAAACAGAGCTCCAGAAAAAAAGCCTCGAAAACAGAGCCTCAGAGGCTTTTTTTCTGAAGCTCTGTTTCAGAGGCTTTCAGAGGCAGAAAAAAAAGTTCTTTCTGAAACAGAGTTTCAGAAGTTTCAGAAGCAGAAAAAAAAAGCAAAAAAAAAAAAAAAAAGCAAGGCACAGAGCTCACAACCAAGGAACCTGTTGCTAAAATTCAACTCTGGGAACAGCTGATTGGGGGTATTCTAGGATGCCGATCCACCTGCCAATCAGCTTTTTTCTTATTTTCCTCCCCAAAAACTAAGGTGCGTCTTAAAGTCCGAAAAATACACTAATATTAAAAGATTTATCATTTTTTTACATTGGCTTTTGACAATTTAGGCATACCACAACCTATTAGAGACAAAGGATAGATCTTTCATCCAGGTTTAAGAAACTTGAGTGCATCCTGCATGATATTCTTCCTACTGAATCCTTCATTTGGGAAGAGGGAAGGAAGTTTTAACATGGATTGTTTATTTTATATCTATTCAATGCTATGAAGAGATGAAACCAAGGAAGAAACTGGAAACTGAACCTGGGGACTGTCTCACTACCCAATTTTTTTAAACTGAAAAACATTGAAATACCAAGAAACAGTGAAAAAAAAGAAATCCTCCTTTTATTAAATAATTTATTTTTGAAGGAGAGAATGCTCTATGAGCAAGACTTTGCTTACACAAAATGTCTCACAAAAAGAACGCATTGGACTATTTTAGTGCTTCTTGTAAGGGGCAGAATTCAACTTTATAAAGTTAATTTGTTAACCAGAAATGCTGCTAGTGACAACAATGCTAACCAGCTTTAAGTGGATTAGGGAAATTTCATGGAAGACAAGGCTCCACCAGTGGTAGGTTCCTCCCGGTTCCGCCGAGCCGGTAGCGGTGACGATATGACATCACCGAACCGATTCTGCCCCCCAACCCCCCACCCCCGCATTATTCTTACCTTTTATTTGGCCCCACCCCCAATCTATTGCTGCCTCCTGAGTCCCAGCTGATGGCTAGAGGGAAAAAAACTGTTTAAACTCTTGCTGCGGGGGTTCAAAGGGCCACCCTATAGCTGATCAGTGTTAAAAGAAAACAAATGGGTAGACTGGTGCCTGCAAAAATAAATGGGTAGACCAGTGCCTGCAAAAATACATGAGTAGATCGGTGCCTGCAAAAATAAATGAGTAGATTGGTACAGCTCTGCAAGCAGTTAAAAGCCTGGTAGACCAGTACCTCTGCTAAATCTTAAATAATTGTCACATGACTATCAAGCCATGCCCACAAAATAAGCCACGCCCACAGAACCGGTAGTAAAAATTTTTAGAACCCACCCCTGGGCTACATGTGCACTTCTTAACATAACTGGGGAACATTGAACATTCTACTGCATTTGGATTTCCCAGAGATGTTGGGACAGCCACTGTAGAAACCAACTAGACCAGTGTTTCTCAGAGCTGACTGGGGAATTCTGGGAGTTGAAATCCACACATCGTCCAGCGGCCAAAGTTGAGAAACACTGAACTAGACTGTCTTGCCTCTTTTGATGTCCTGATTATAGGTTTAGTTTAATATGGTAAATCCGTTAAGTCTGAAGTCTGCTCCAAAAATATATGTCTTCTTCACTATAAAATGTATAGCTTCTCTTTTAAACTTTTATGTTTTCAGCTAAATAAAGTAGTGTTTGCTTTCTCTACGGTATTTAATTTTGCTTGGACAGCATTTATATCCTGAAGCTGCAGGTTATAGACACATCGTCTGGAAACTAGTATCAGTGAAATAGCATTGATTCACTGGGAGTAAATGCTAAATTAAAAGACTATTTCTTGACAGATGATCTGAAAATACTTGCTATGAGAATAGGAAACTTCACATCCTTCTCTCCCTTCAAATTTATGTCCCTGACTCTCTTGACCGAGTGACCATAACTGGGGAACAAAGGGAGTTTTAAGGAAGCGTAATTTCCTCCTGCTTTCTTCGCCAGACAGATAGGACTTTTGCCAATAGAACAGCAGTTGAATTTCAGTTTTCTTTCTTTTTTTCTCACAGCTTTCACAGTGAATAACTATAGCACCATGACTGAGACTATGGTATCAAAGGCTGATTGTGCATTCCATCCTAACTCAACTAACCAAATTTAACAACAGAAGAAAAGAGGAACAGATCAACAAACATCCTCCCCCAATTACTGCTTGTGATAATTTATCCATGGCTAAGAAATCAACAAAACCAGGTCTGCACTGGGCTAATTATGTTTTAAACCTTTATCAATAATTGCAAGAAGTTACAGAAAACCAGAAAAAGCTGGCAAAAATTCAGAGAGTTTCTAATAGCTGTTGCAAAAAAAGAAATGTTGAGATGGCCCAGAAATAGTTATTCAACAGGGGGCCAAAGAACTATTCAGAAGGAGCATTTTCAGGAAAAGAGGAGTGATTCTTTTCCCTCAAAGATAAAAAGCTTTAGTACTTTAGTACCAATATCCAGAATCAATTGCAGAATGTGGTCTTCCAGATTACCAGTTTACCGCACATCATCAGAATACCCAATTTACACAAAATTTATTGCTCATCCTTCTGATCTCAAGTGGATACATTAGTGTTTTTCCACAATATCTCCTCATTCCTACACAGCTGAATTTTGAACATTTCTGATTATAATCCATATATAATGGACCCCACCTTGCTATAGTTTATAACAGATACAATATAACAGCTTATATTGTGTTTGCAGCAAAGAGATAGAACATGGGAGAAAGACAAGGAAAGTAAATCTCAACCCAATTCTTCCTGTGAAACTCACATATTCAGATGCAGCGTGAGACCTGTGGCCTCACTAGGTAAACCATCGATACCTCTGTCACCTAACATTCCAGCGTTCTCATAATAATAGACTGCCAATCCTTATATATAGAGCTATGAATGATTAAAACAGCACAAAAGTATTGACATCCAGTGTTTGTTTATGTATTTGTGCAATAAAATCCCTGTAGGTCTAGGCAGTTTACAAATATTAAAGTAACAATAGTACATTGCATGCAATCATTAAAATGGAAACAATACAAATATAGGCATTTAGGGTGCACAGTTAATCCTCAAAAGATTTTTTTTAAAGCAACTTTTGCTTTTTTTTTTGCTAGCAATGCTTCAGGAGACAGACTGTTCCATAAGAAGGGAGCTGCTTAGAAAAAATGCTACAGTCAGGCTCTCTCCTACCACCTGACCTTAGCTGGCATTCTCTAACAAAATCTGCATGAAAAGCAATCTTTACATAGCCAGATTCTAAGCCTTATAGGACCATAAAGACAACAGCCAGTGTCTTGAATTATATTTATACTGGCAATCAGCATAGCTCCTGCAACAGTGGTTTATCAGGGCAGTACAGTAGCTATTGTATTCTAGGCCAAATGAAATTTGTGGGTGGTTCTCCAAAGCAGACCCAAATAGCATACATTACAGCAGAGGTGTCAAACTGGTGACCCGCGGGCCAGATGCACCATGCGCAGG